ACTCTCTATCCCTCTCCCTTCCTCTATGTAAAAAGTATATACTAGATATATTTCTTGAACAAAACAGAAAGTTACAGAGCACGGCAAAGTCAGAGGTAGCTAGAGCTATAGGATATCTAGTTAATTTGACTCTAATTAAACAAGCATGCTTTCAAGATAGGGGCAAATGCTGGGTGCTTATTTTTCTTTAAAAAACAGGTAGAACAGAGTGAGGTTTCTCCTCCTTCGGTCTAGCACCTACTAAAAACAGAGAGCAAAGAGTAGCATTTGGGAATGTCCTTCAAGTCAGAGGAAGGAGCAGAATGTTCCAGCAGCACAGGAAATAATCCAGGGTGTTGGAGGTTTGGTTATTTGGGCAGGAAAATGCAATGATCCCTGCCCCATTCTACCTTCTTCACCCAACGTGGAACAGAGTGGAACAAAGTGACAGAAAACACATCAGAGGCTGAGGAGAAATATGGAAATCTGGGAAAGAGAAACAAAGTCTGAATGGATGAGAGAGGGAGGAGGAAAAATAAAAAAGAGTCCAAAAAAGGTGGGCTTGTTTCTTTGGAGTAGCAAGAAGGACAACTTTGTGAGATATCCAGTGCCTTTTCCCAAAGACCCCGACTTTCTGGTGACATGAGAATAATTTGAAAAGACCAAAAAGGCACCTCCAGACTCCGCAGTATCCTTTCCCCACCTCACCAAAGCCGCAAATTCCTGTGCACCTGTGGTGGGTGGGAAATGTGCTTCTTGAGCCTGAATTAACTATCTGTATATTCTTCTAGACTTCATGAGTCTGCATAACCAGCAACAGGAAAGTTGGTTTAATAATGGACCCTCCCAGAACTCCCTTTCCATTTTAAGCGGTGATGCTAAGGGAAATGATTCCACTGTAATCAGTCTAAGGGGAAGAATAAATAGCCCAATTTTCTTCTCTTCATGTACCATACCAAGTCCTTCTGGAAAGATGTTAGTCCTATGCCAGAGTCCAGGCATTTTGTAGAAAATATATAAATATAATTGAAACAGAATTTTTGAACTTGAACACATGGTGTTTCCCTGGGCAGGATGGTTCCTGGGCTTTTTGTCTGTTGGAGTCAAAGAATGAATCCACGGGTGGAAGATGTTATAGCAAATGTGGAATTTATTGAGGAACAAGTACAGATTCCCACGTGGAGAAGGAAGGAATCTCACAGCACAGATTTCCACGTGGGGAAGGGCAAAAGTCCCATTGAGTCCCTGTTTCCACAGTTTATAAAGGTTGCAGATTTTTGTGCCTTGATATCCCCTCTGATTGGTCACTATTCCCTTAGTCTGGTTATGATGGTAACTACTGAGTTCAAAGGTTGAACCTCACATGGGACATATGAGGTTTTCCTTCCCTCCCTCCTTATTGTTTTCCTATACCCTTTGGGTTTTCTTCTCCCTTTGAATGAGTGGTTTCCTTCCCTTTATTTTGTAAGTATAGACTTTCTGCTCTTCCCAACTCCCTCATTCTACAGCAGTGTTTCCCAAACTTTTGACATATGTGTACCCCTTCTATAATTTTCGTAACGCTGAGTACCCCTCGTACTCATGAGAACGTAGAATTAAGCGCAGCTAAGCATGATGCAGTGCATATCCCCACCAAACTCCGGTGCAATGCGTACCCCCACCAAACTCTTCCCGTACCCCTGGGGGTACGCGTACCACACTTTGGGAAACACTGCTCTATGGAAATGTACCTGTTGCAGCTTTTCAGCTCCCCTGTTCTGTGGAATTATACCTTCTGCTGTTCATCAGCCCTGTGCTTCTTGCATGGTCTCCTTAATTTCCAAAATTTCCTAAACCTGTCTTTTCACACCCCCCAAAATTCCTATTTCATAATCATTTCAGGGGTTTTTAGAAACAGAGTCAGAGGAAGCACTATTTCTAAGATAATGAGAAGGACTCCTTGGACCAATGAGGGACTAGAGAAGCAAGGATTCAGAGTTTGAGTTATGATGTTTTTCGTTGGCTACACAGAATTGAAGATATTCTCTGTGGCGGATTTATTTCTCCTTTACTATGTATTTATAGTAACGCTGCTGGAAGGAGGAGCTTTGGCTTGGATATGTAAGGTGAATACTAGAAGGATGATAGTAGAATACAAAACAGAATCCTCTGATGCTTTCCTGCTGCACCACAATTATAAGTAAGAAACTACCAGGCCCCAGAAGGAGTGATTGAACTCACAACTGAGACAGGGGAGGAAGAGGAACTGGGTAATCTATCTAACGGACCCCCTTTAAAGTAGCCAATTTGGTCCAATATGAACATCCATAGGTCCTGCAGGTTAATTGTAGATGTCAGAACCTAAACAGATTTGTGCTGACTACAGTGTCCTAGGCCTAGTATTATTGCTTATATTAGAATGATATTTTAAATCTTGATGGATTAAGATCGCTGATTGGGAAAATGCATTATTTTCTCTATTTTTTCCTAACTGCATTTATTTTTTGATTAGATTATTTAGTCACAAATTTCAAAGTTCACAACATAAAAAAGACACATAATAATGAAAACACTCTCTCCTAGTCCTGTCCCCTTTTTTTGAGGTCACTGGTGTTACCATTTTCTCTCCTATTCATGAGAGATGTTTTATTCTTAACAAGCATTTTATTAGTCTCACTTTTTTTTTCTTTTCATGAATTGTTGTCTACTATACACAGTTTGGCATCTTGCTTTAATACCAAATGTATCTTGAAATGTATTAGGTTTCAATACAAAGAAAGCTTCCCTGCTATTTTTAAATCACTGCATAGTACTCCATTGTGTGAATGTCCCATTCTGTATTTCATTTCTCTCATATTGACTGACGTTTAAGTTGCTCCCAGTCTTGTGCTATGACAGCTATAATGCTTTAATGAATATTCTTCTGCACATATCATGTTGCACAGTACAAGTACAGCTGTAAAATAATTTCTAGACAGGGAAACTCTGGATTATAGAAATGTATTTGTAATTCCGGGAGCTATATTACCCTCCATAGGAGTTGCAACACTTTGAACTCCCTTCCTCATTAACATAATGTTATTCAATGGTTTGATATTGCTGGTCTTATATTAGAATATGCAAAATTGCAGTCCAGTTTGGAGACATTTTGCATTTCTTTTATTATGGATGAGTTGAGTATTTTTTTATATGTATAACAATACTTCTATATCTATTACTGGGGGTATTATGCCATCAGATAAAAAGTAAATTTGGATATCATTCTCATTCAGGTTATGGGATCACTTTCCTGATTAATTAATGCAGTCACTATTAGTAGTTGTGTGCAGAATGTTGTTCAAATATACAAGGCCCATGGTCCCAATATGTTTGCTCAGGAAATACATTTCACAACTAGAATTGTCTAAGAGTCGGTACATAAGATGAATATAAAATGAGACTTTATTTTTCTCTCACTTGCAAGCAATGTGTATAATGGAACTAGGGAATAGATTTCGTAAGTGTGAAATCAGAATCCTCACCACTCAACAACATTAGCAGATTTGACCTGTTAATGAAAATTCCTTTTTGGCATTGGTTTTAATGGACCAAGCCTTTATGGTGCTATCTCTGTGGCCACCTACCTCCTAGCAGATGAAATCAGGGATAGGAAGAAATAAAATAAGGCAAATAAATGTGATCAATAAATCATAACTCCCTCTGACTCCAGGTATATTTTGTTATAACCACTGTGAAGATACTACAAATAAAAGACTTGAATTTTTTTTTGTTGTTGAAGCCCAAGTAATTGTGAAGCTTACTTTTGTACTGGGTTTATAACCCCCCCAAAAAAAATTCTTATTAAAAAAAGCAAAACATTTGGAAAAATAGTATGAACAAATGAGATTTCCCACTTGTTAAACCAGATCAAGAACTTGTGGTTTTATGATTCACCAAAAATATTAGGAGAAATAAAAAATATCCTTTGACCAAATAGGAGACATGAGTTCATTATGAAGGAAAAATACTGGAGAGCCCCAGAAAAACTATATGTGAAACTCAAGTAAAAGAATAATATACTTTCAATCTCTAAATTATTTGATGTTAAGAATTTTTTACTTGATAAAAGTTTTACTTTTCCAGTCTGGGTCCCCAATCCTGTTGATTCTTACTGTAAGCTACTCTTGATCCTGGCCCTATTTATGATGGTATTTACCCACATTCCCCAGTAACAAGTATTTATGGGACCCAGAAAGCAATGTCATCCCATCCCTATTTAGAGGATATGGAAACCACTCATGAGGTTCTCTGTTCAAATGAAGAAAACTCAGTCCTCATTCCAGAGACAACTCTAGCCTGTAATATTAACTACATGTAACCACACACCTGGACCGCACCTAGAGGTAGAGAAAGCTTCAAGGAAGGGTAAGACTGTTTCCTCACATGTTATTGGGACAGCAAATCTATACAGAAAAACAAATGCCCGTGATAATTTGTGTGTACAGAACCGTCCTGTGCCTGGTATGATGACTGAATTTAATAGTACACTAGATCTAATAATGATGCCTGATTATAAATTAAATGTTTCCATGAGCAGGCATCATATCCAATAAGCAAGTCCTGGTAGCCTGAGTGGGGGCAGATCTCAACATAAATTTCATTTAAATAAAATCTCCAGTCGCATAAAAAAATGAGTCTCCTATAATTAAAATAACAAATGGAGAAGAACATAGAAATTTTAACAATGAGACCCTGAAGGGTATGCCACAGATGATCAGATTGCTTTAAGACTCTACATGCAGCTAAATCATAGTTGGATATAATATTGTGTGGGTTTCATGGATATAATATTGCATGGATTCCAGCTTTGAAAAATCCACGGAATAAAGAACTAGGTCTAGAGGCTGGGTTGCAGAGGCAAAGCTGAGAGCGTGCTCAGGGATGGGGAAGTGATCCCCCCCATGCCCACCCCCTAAGCAAGTCAATAAAAAAATCAATTTGCTGGGGACTGCTGGGGTTGGCCCCATGGAGGAGGCCAGGGAGAGGGCTAATTGGGGTTAAAAGCCTAGTGCTGGGTGCCCATGGGCGAGGTGGGGACCACCATGTCCCAGCTCTTCAACAGGGTCTTCTGTCACGTGTCACAACCTCAGCAAACCAGCAGGATGGCTGCAAGCAAGATTAAGAACCAGAGCTCCCTGGCCCCGCACCAGGTGATCATGATTGGCCGTGGAGGGGTTGGCAAGTCAGCCCTGACCCTTCAGTTCATGAAGGATGAGTTCGTAGAAGACTGTGAACCTCCCAGAGCTGACCGTTGCAGGAAGAAAGTGGTCCTGGAGGGAGAAGAAGTGCAGATCCTCCCAGTTAAGGCTGAAGATGATGCAGTCCCGCTGCTCCTGGTGGGAAACAAGTCGGGGTTGGAAGAGAGGAGGCAGGTGCTGGTGGAGGAGGCACAGAGCAAAGCAGAGGAGCTGAGTGTGCAGTACGTGGAGATCTCGGCCAAGACTCGGGCCAACGTGGATAAGATGTTCTTCGATCTAATGAGAGAAGTCAGGGCCAAGAATAGGTCAGCAAACAAGGACAAGAATGGCAAGAAAAGCAGCAAGGACAAAAAAGCTCTAAGGAGAGATGTTGCTTATGTGAGTGCCATGATGGTGGTTGGAGCCCATTGTCAGTAAGGACCTCGGGCAGATCCTTCAGGGAAAACTGTAGTTGACTTGGCGTGCTCCCTGCCCACCCCAACCTCATTCACGCAGATTTCTTCCAATGGGGGAAAATACTGGGGAATCACTGGCTGGCAAAAGAAATAAGCCCTTGACCTTGTATGGACAGCCATGTTCATAACTCCCTCCCTTTCTCCCTCCCTCCCTTCCAGAAGTTTAGTGCGAGAGGTAGGAAATAGTCCAATGTTAATTAAAATGAAAGAGGGCTCTCATAGTGTTCCCTCCACCCCCAATTTCATAACATTTGCACCTTTTTATTTTTTTTAAATAAAAATCCTTATTAGGTTTTGGGAGAAGGGGGTGGAGGGGTTAAGACTCCTGTTACCCTTGTCAGCTTAACAGTAACACTCAGAAAAACCCACTAAAGTCTAATGATGCTGAAAAACCCAGATTTTGGCAGGATATGTTCCGTGGCAATACCCAGGATAGTTGAAGGATAGTTAGACAATAATGTGAGCTGGGCCACGGAGGTCAATACATAGCTCCTAAATCCTCTCACCTGTGAGAAATTGAAGCTGTATTCTCCGCATTTAAGTACTGGCTAGGGATCATTTGTGGTGGCTGTTAGCTCCTGTGGCATCCTGGTTTGAGGTAGGAGCTTCTTTTCTTTTTTCTTTTCTTTTCTTTTCTTTTCTTTTCTTTTCTTTTCTTTTCTTTTCTTTTCTTTTCTTTTCTTTTTTCTTTTTTAATTGATTTCAGAAAGGAAGGAAGAGGAAGAGTGATTTTATTCACCTGGTTTTGGAACTTATAAATGGAATAATACATATGTATTCTTTGGTGTCTGGCTTTTTCCCCCATTCAATATTATGTTTCGGGCTTCCTCCAGGTTGTTTCATGGTCTCGTGGTTTGTGTATTTCATTTGAGGATGTGATTTTTATCCACAGCATCTCAAGTACATAAAGGAAGTGAGACCTGCTGAGAATTGCACAAGAACCACTTGTGAGCCTGGGGAGAGCCGGCTTGTTTTTGATCTCCCAATCGATAAGCTCACTTCTCAGTACTGTGCTTCCACTAGTCTACTGGTACAGTGAGTTGTTTTACTCCTCTGGGTGGGAGTTAAAATCATGGACACTGCAGCACAGATGGAAATATGTGGCTTTGTTCTAAGAGGCTGCCATTGAGTATTCAACTACTTCTCTGTGGCAGTGATCTTCAATGTTTTTCATCTCATGGCTCACATAAGCTAATTACTAGCATTCAGTGGCACACTAAGAAATATTTATATTTTGCCCATCTGACAAAAACTAGGTATAATTTTGATTCATTCATACCGGACCGCTGTTGTTGTGTTGGCTGTTGCCATTTAAAAAAAAAAAATTATTTGACAATCTAAGGGAAAAGAGGTTACTGCCCCTGACTAAAGAGTCAGGTAGTGCATGTTTTAAAATCCTTGCAACTGAAACTCGTTTGGCTCAGTGGATAGAGTGTTGGTCTGCGGACTGAAGGGTCCCAGGTTTGATTCTGGTCAAGGGCATGTACATTGGTTGCGAGCACATCCCAGGTGGGAAGTGTGCAGGAGGCAGCTGGTCGATGTTTTTCTCTCATCAATATTTCTAGCTCTCTGTGAAAAAATCAATAATATATATATTTTTTTTAATTTTTTTTTTAAATCCTTGCAGCACTCCAGTTGAAAAATCACTGATTTATGGGAAAAGACTTAACAATTCAAACGGTTACTAAGGTAATGAGTGGCAATTTAATGAAAGGACCTGATGTTTCTCTCAGTAACCCTCAGAGGACCACACCTTTCAAGGTCAGTGACCCTAATTAATAATGTGACTTATTTAACTAAAGAAAATGCTGCTTTCCAGAATAAAGTTACAGTATTTGGCTAGCAACTTCTGAGAGCCAGAAGGACTAGACTTGGATTCTATAAGCTGAGAAAAAAAATAGGACCTGTTTCAGGTTGTAAATGATCCTAATCTTTATTTTAGATGAATATAAAATGGTAAGGCCATATATTAATAGGTGAAGGTTAAATGAGCACAACAGTAAAACAAATGTATTGAATAAATTAGTAGGCAATTTAAAGGTTATGAATGGAGGACTCCAAGCTGCTGAGAAAAATGCCCTCTTGCCCAGCAATTCACAGCCGGTGCCTATTTATAGTTGTCTTCTGCTACAGGGCCAGATACATGTCTTCCCTTCTCTAACTTTGCTTAGAGTGACTGCCAAATACCAGGTTTTCCTATTCCTTCACTAGTAGAGCTCCCATCTGTTCAATCAATGGGAAGAAACTGAGATGTTGTGTGATTTATACCACAATCTCTTGGCCATTCCTGACACATCAGACCGAGAAAGAGTTAAGCTTTTGTCATGTGACTTTGTTTCCTTCATTTTAGAACACCTGGTATTAGTAAAACATCATTATAATGGTATAGTGTAGTGGGCTTCATCCAGGTTTTCTTCAAAACATAATCTGTACAATGCATAACTGGATTTGAGGGCAGGAGGGATGGATAAATGGGTGAAACACAGGAATGTTTAGGGCAGTGAAACTATTCTGTGTGGCACTCTACTAATGGATATGTGTGTTTTATACATTTGTCAAAACCCACAGAATAAACATAAGTATGGAGTTTAGCTACTAATAATGTAACGATATTGGTTTATCAGTTGTGTGGAATATACACTGAGTGGCCAGATTATTATGATCTTTGAAAGCATAATAATCTGGCCACTCAGTGTATATCCTATATAATAAAAAGCTAATATGCAAATTGACCCCTTGACCAAAATTTTGACCAGCAGGCAGGCCAGCCACCGCCCATGTCCTCTCCCCCTGGCCAGGTTAGCTGGACCCCACCCATGCACAAATTCATGCACCGGGCCTCTAGTATATATATATATATATATATATATATATATATATATATATATATATATATATGTATATATATATATATACACACACACACACTGAGAGGCCAGATTATTATGTGTTCAGAGATCATAATAATCTGGCCACTCAGTGTATAACACTAATAGAAGATGTTAATAATAGGGAGAAGCAATGGATGAAAATGTATATGGGAATTCTCTGTACTTCCTCCTCAATTTTGATGTAAACCTAAATAGATCTTTAAAAATTGTCTATTAGCCTTAGCTGGTTGGTTTCATTTAATGGAGTGTCAGTCTGCTGAAGGGTCCCAGGTTAAATTCAGGTTAAGGGCACATGCCCGGGTTGTGGGCTCGATCCCCAGTTGGGGGCATGCAGGAGACAGCCAATCAATGATTCTCTCTCATCATTGATGTTTCTATCTCTCTCCCTCTTCCTTCCCCTCTGAAATCAATCTATACTAATAAAAGGGTAATATGCTATTTAGAACAGACATTTTTCTGGACGTCCTTCTGGACAAAGCTGCAGCAGCTGCCCAAGGCTCAGGCAAGCTGCAGTGGCTGTGAGGGCCATGGCTCAGGCAGCCGCAGTGGCTGGCAGTGGCAGCAGAGACATGATGGGCAGGTTGCCTTCTGCAGGGAGCAGGCCTAAGCCTTCAGTAGGACATTCTCTTAGGACTCCTGGGCTATGAGAGTGAGCAGGCCGGACTAAGGGACCCCCCAACCCCCACCTCCGCCTTCCCCAGTGCATGAATTTTCCTGCACCAGGCCTCTAGTAAAAATATATTTAATAAAGAAATAAAAATTGTCTGTTAATTTTATTTTTAAATATGGAATGAAAATAGGTTGACTCTTATAAATTCTGAGTCTGTTCCTTAAAAAAGTCAATTAGATGTTTCCCATTATCCATTTTATGCTTTTTTTCAATAGAAAATACCAGTATTTTCTCCCCAGATTTGCCTGAGCAGATTTTGTAGGGAATGAAAAAAAGAGATGCCACTTTAGGCACCAGATCTGGGATTAAGGAGATTACCCTTGAAACTTCAAAAAGTAATCTTTGAAAAATTAAAGTGAACATATACTTCTTTAAATGGAGCAAACTCAATATGGAAGTTAAAATTTGAGGTCACATAAATTTAGGAGCTTAATATCTAGGAAATGAAGAGAACACCTCTATTGCATTTCAAACTCGTTGTACAGAACTGAAGTGAAATCAAACCCCTTAAATGATTATGTGGCTATAAACACAACACTAGCATTTGATGAAGTATCATCATCACTGTCTCCTTTAATAGGAGGTCATATTTGGAAGACTCTTCCTTTATTGAGGCTAAAATCGGGTCCTGTATAGATTTTCTCATGTTTGCTTGTAATCAAAGTGTGGAACTGTTGTCCAGTTAATTAATCAGATCTAGGTAAATTTCCCCATTGTAGATTTTCTCACGATGAGTGTAGGAAGGAGGATCTGATTTCTCAGAAGAATACATTTGTCACAAACATTTTAATATTTCACAGTGAAATAACTCATGCCTATTAAGAGACGTTTGAGTGTATTATTTGAAAGGGTTGTCCTTTTCTCAGTTCTAAGCTCCATTTGAACTGTCTGCAGAAAGGAATTTCAGACTGTTTCTATTCTCAGTAAGAACTTCCTGTCTGAATGCCTGCAATATGCTTATCTGTCCCTATCTTTTCATGTGCATTTTTAATTTGGCCCTTCAGATTCTAAAATCCTCAAGGGCTGTTTCTTAATATGCTTTTGTAGCTCAAGTATCTAAGTCACAGTATGTGTTTTTAAAAATGTATGTTTGATAATGACAGTACTTACATTTTTCTAATTCAAAAACATGTTCCCCCCCCCCAAAAAAAAAGTATTTAAGTGTTGATATTACTATTTAAAGAAATGATTTTTAAAAATTTACTGAGGAATCCTGGCATCTTTATAACATTGAAACTTCAGAATACTAGAATCTCTAAGAACTAGATTCCTAAGGTTGGATTTTAAGTCATAATCAGTAACATTAATATGTGAAATTGAGAGGCTCAGGAATAGAATACAAAATTCCAAGAAATTTCTCTTAGGATTGAATTCCCATATTTAATCCAATTTCATGTTGATGAT